CTAAACACTGGGAGGAGTGAGGAAGCAGACAGGCACCCTTTTCACTGGCCAACAGTTAACTGAAAGTTCACATTTTGCACTTTCCCTGCCTCCCACGTGGGTTTTTTCAGTTCTTAACTCAAATCTAAGTACTTAAGTCAAGTCAATATTTTCCTATGAGAGCGGTTCTTAAGTCAAAATGTTCTTAACTCAAGTCGTTCTTAAGTCAAGACCCCACTGTAACAGTCACACTGTTTGTACTCCTCCACAGCACACAGAAATATGCATTTAGAGTTCATTCACTTTGATTTGCACACACAAAAAGGGATGGCTAGCTTCAGCCTTTTTTTTTTTAAAGCAATAATTCATCCACATATATTGGCCTTGTGGCTGTATCTTAGACTTCAGTTCAAAATAGAACATTTTGAAATAAAGGAAGATTCATTTTGAGGCTCTGGGGGGATTTCCATTTAGTATGTTTCTCACATTTTCTGGGGACAATTCTGGAACACTGACATTTGTCAGTTATTACCATGTTTTCCCGAAAATAAGACAGGGTCTTATATTAATTTTTGCTCCAAAAATGCATTAGAGCTTATTTTCGGGGGATGTTTTATTTTACAGTCATGTCATCTTCTGGTTGCTGCACAATGGAGGAGGGCGGGGTTTCACTTAACTATGCCTTATTTTGGGGGTAGGGTTTTTATTGTGAAAAGAGCTTAGTTTATGTACTACAATAAATTTCTGATGCTTCAGGCATCAATGTGTTTCCTTATGAGCCCCCTTGAACACACTGGGAATTTCAGTAAACAGACAGTCTGAAATCCTTGCTCTTTTCAGCATAGGACTTCTTCAGAGTGGAATTCCATGAGGCATAGAAGCATATTTTGAGCAATGCACACTTAAGTGTTTTGTACACCATTCACATGGTCTTTTCAGGATCCTAGCTTTTAAATTTCAGGTGACTGCAACATTTTGAGTTAATTGCAGTAGGAGCTCCATATCCACTGGAGATTGGTACCAAGCTCCCCTGCAGATACTGAATACCATGGATAACAATGGACACTATATAGATAGCATGGTAAAAGTTAACAACAATAAAAAGCAGAAAACATTATTTTCACATGCATTACCATAATTTGGCACTAGAGGCACCAGAGAGTCATCACTAAGAAGTATTCATAGCACAGTTTCTGGTTCACTCTAATGGCCAGTTCTGGTAATACATGTAACAATAGTTTTTTCCCCCTGGATTTTTTTTCTTCTAATATTTTTAGTACTTTCAGATCATGGATAAATGAATCAGTGGATACTGATCCTGTGGATAACAGTGCGCTGCTGTATGTTTGAACTTTACTGCAGCTTAAAGAACAGGTAACCAATATGAATGAAACAACTCTGTGTCTACAAAGTGTTTAGAGATAAATAGATACTTAATTAATGCTCCCTGAATCAGTGAGAATCTCATCTGAGGAAGTACACTGCAGTTATGGAGACTGTTTTCTGACAAAACACAAGTGTGTGGTTGGCACCACTCTTGCAGGTGGTTCTGGTTGTTTCTAGGGAATGCCTGTCAGGTAGGAGTAAATATTGACTATAAAAAGGAACATTTAGAAAAAGGGCCCTTTACAAGATGTAGGTCTCCAACCTATTTGTGACTCATGAAATGTTTCCATCTCCATGAGAGGCAAATGACCTGAAACTACTGTACCATGTTCTATATGAAAAACAAACAGGTTGAGTTCCTCTTGTTTTCTGCCTTCACTCTGCTGAATTCTGACTACCAATTCAGACTCCACATGTATTACGAAGATAATAGGTTCCCTTAGCAGTGTTATATTGTTGCCTCTGTCAGGATTCTAAAAGTACAGACCAGCTTTCTTCTAATGCAAGGGAAGAAGGTAGTGGTTGTAAACCCAGATTATTCTTAAAGGGACAGCACACTTAATTTGTTGTGACATAATACATTTCATTGATAGAATGTTCCAATGTCTCTTTTGGTAATAGGGTTATGCATGGAATTCCATGTAACAACAATCAATGCAATATATGGTGGAGCTCAACCAGCAAACTGAAGAATAAAATATGTGTTGGTACTAGATGGAATTCCACTGGCAAAGCATGAAGGGCTTAACAGAAAGACTTTGAATCCATAATCCTGTTTGTGACTTTGCAGGACCCATCAGATAGATGATATTTTCTAAATAGTGATGTAATGTAGTGATGTATGTAATCTTTCTGACTTTAATGCTAACTTTTTAAAGTATATGTATAACCTTTTCTTTTAAAAACATGTTCTTCTGCTGGTAGAGGAGTTGTTATCTCAACAAATATGTTCTCATGCCTGCCTTATTTGTGATAATAGGAAAGTGTGTCTACAGGTACTATGGGAAGAGAATGGCTGATGAACTGGCCAGATACAAAAGAAGACAGGATTCCTACAACGGCAGACAATAGGACCTCAGCAAGTCTAATTATAAACAGTTCAAAATGCAGGAGTTTTGTCCTGATTTACATTTTGGCTACCCTAACTGTAGGATGGGTGAGATGATTAGCCAAGGATGCTGATATTTCTCTGAGTACTTCAAACATAGAAGAGAAGGATGTAACTAAATTAAAGAACAATAAGAATAATGCATCTACATCACAGCAAAAATCTACAGAGTAGACTGCCCATTCTTCTTTTTATAGCAGCTAAACTTCTTTTCATAATTTCTTCCATGTGGAGTTGTTTTTCCATGCTGATAAATGGGGAAATACAGAACTGGTGTCTATATTAAAGGATATTTATAAATGGAAAAACCACTGCTCTGAGCCTTTGTACCTAAAAACACTGGGAGAGTTGCCGTAAGTTGAAATATAGCACATAATTAGTATTGTGCAGAAGTTACCTTCTGTGCTGGAGAACTCTCAGGTTCTTAACCTTACTGAAATGTTGTTTGGATGCAAGGCTGTGGTATAGTGTACTTGTCTGAAGCCAAGAAAAAATGGAAGGCATTGGAAAATCAATTTCCTGATCTCCCCACAGGGTGGCAGCTTTGCACTGGCCTACTGTTGAATCTGACTTCGCCTCACAATGTATGTGTGACTTTTCTAATGGCTGGTATTGGTCATTGTTTCTTTTATGCTGCTGCTAAATAGCGAAACCAGAAACACATGCTAGAGGAAGCCTGTAACTAGAGCTGAAGGCATGTTAATGTTACAGGGAAGAGTGAGGTATTATTTCTATGTGTGTGATATAAAATTTCAAAGGTATCCCGTGGTTAAAGCCTGGAGTCCCATCACCAAAGAGAGCAAGTTCATCTACATAATCCTGGATGTGAGAAAAGTTTGTGTTGTGACATAGGTTAGGAGTTTTCAACTTACAGCTGTGCTCTTCCTCTCATGTCTGCTAGAAACATTTTACTGACAGAGGAAAATAAGGAAACCTTCAATATGCTCTTCAGCCTCTTCATAGCTCATTTTATCCACTACTGAATGAGAGATTTTTGACAACCAAAATAACTTCAAGTTCTGTTCTTTGATTTCTAAATGTCACATAATTAAAAATCATGTGCTGTCAAGTCAGGTCCAGCTTACGGCAGCTCTTTTCAGGGTCTTCTACCTAAATGGTACTTTTATGACACTAGTCATTTACCATTCATTGCCTTCTTCTGGGACTATGCAGCTTGCTAAAGACCACACAGGCTGACTCTTCTCTTGGGTGGCACAGTGGGGAATTGAACTCTCAACTTCTCGCTCTGTATTCATTCAACTCACTGGTCTACCTAGCCAGCTATCACAAATAGAGACACCTATTCAACTTTAATCAAATTGTTCCCCATCTAACTAATGATGGATCACTCTACAAATTTGACCTTTATGGTAAATCATTTTCAAATAGGAACAAACTGCCCCTTGGATGCACCAAGGATATTATTATGTTGTAGTTTATACAAACTTTTCTGGGATGTCTGGGCTTATGGTGTGACTTCTAGAATGGTGAAAAAGGCATAGCTTGATGGGACAACATTTAATTGCTTGATTCTTTTAAGTCTCTGTCTGAGGTGGGACAGCTCCATGCAGGTTTATTTCTTTAAAAATCATTCCTCCAAAGGTTGTGTTCAAACAAAGATGAGGTGATCAGGTCAGGTGCTAAGTTGATGCTTCTGCACTTTTCACATTTCATTTCCAGGCATGTACTCTTTATTTCTCCCCAGCTAAGGATCAAATCGGTCTTTGCTTCCCATCTTGTTATCTATTCATTTTGGAGCAACTGCTACACAGAGTTGCTTCCTAGATAGGTAGATGTCGCCACATTTTGAAGTATTTCCATAAAGGAACTCTTCAGGAATACAGATGAGGACTCTTTAAAGAGTCTGTTTGTTTCTCAGTTAAGCTCCTCTTTCAGAAGCAAAGTTTAAATCATATAAAGGTGCTTGCTAATCAGAAATAAGGGTATGTGAAAAATGTATTTTGGAATGCCTGTAAAATACCATGTGTTGATAGTAAATTAGGAGAGAGGGCTTTACTCCCTGAACAACTTCTATATGAGTAATCAGCTCTGTTCTTGTGAAAGTGACCTGGGATGGTCTCCATTTGGAAGAAAGTGTGAATGTTTTTTGGCTCAGGAAGGATGGAGTGGTCCCACTTGACACGTGTTGAAGGTGACCAAATGCCAGGGTTAAAAACAAATAGGCTCGTGAGGCTCCTAAAAATAGTTTCCACAAGTACCTAGACTTGTAATCACCTTCCTGGCTGATGGGCATAGGCTGAATTGGCAGGGCTCAGCATGAGAACATTGCTTGGCAGTAGCATGAGCAACAGTAGCTCTGGCGGTACCCTTAGAGTCCTCTGGCAGGGCAGGGCAGGGCAGGCTGGCATATGAAATGAAGCGCCTACAACGGAAACCGGGTTAAGAAGGAAACCTTCAATGAAGCCATTGTCTAACAGCTTCAGGAAAAAAAAATTAAGTAACCAAACATAATGTATCATGTATGAAAATGGGGCTGGACAGGAACTCAGTAAGTCACCGGGAATGACAGCAAAGCATTAAGGTGGTTCACTTACCAAAGTGAGCCAGCTCTCAGGGCATCATGGCTTCCCCCAGCCACTCTGTATAGAGCAGGCTGCTACCTCTGGATTATTCTCATACTTTCCTTTTCATATTATAAAATGCAAGCAAACAATAGAAAAGAAATCCTTGTCCAGAGGGATTCTGGCCACTTTACAGCTGCATGGACCGCCGTTTCCTTCCCAAGGCATTGCGATGGTTGTAGGGCCGCATCTTCATTTCCACAAAAGGTACAGAGAACTCATGTCCTTTCCAGTGATACCAGTTAATGCCCTATGGATGAAACAAAGTTTTATACATGTATACTTTCATTATTTGCTGATTGTTAGCTGCCTAAAGTGGTCCTGAGTTGGCTAGATAGGCGGGATATAAATAAAATAAAATAAAATAAAAATAAATAAATAAATAAATAAAGTCATTTGCAAAGTATACTTCTAATTATTTGAGTAGCATAACAAAACAAAACAAACAACAAGATAGCAGGGAAAATGACATACTGGTTGAATTTTTTTAAGGAGTCTGTTTAAAATGGGGATCTGCTTACAGTGATAATGCTTGGAACTAATATATAGTGTTAGAGTGTTGGAAGCATTTTACATACTTGAATAGTTTACACATTGAGAAGAATGAGGTGATGAAAGACTTTAGATAATAAAAAGAATTTGTAATTCATGCTGGATGTAAAGGGATTGTATTTTGAATGACTCCCATTTATGAAAAACTCTTGGTAAACAGAAAACTTGAGCATTGAAGAAAAGACAATATGAGATGAGATTTTCTTTACAACAGTGGAATTCAGGCCATTTCATTCCTTTATAAGATCAGGGCACACATTCTTTTCCTATCCCAAGTTTTGCACTGAACTGTGAGATTTCTTTTGGTTCTTACGTGGAAATGTAGGAATGTTTTAATACATGCTCTTACCAATGTATATATTGTAACCACATTTCTTAATATACAGTCTAATGCATTATTCTCATCACCCAAAGCATGTTTCTACGGATTTTTCAACTAGATGCAGTTTTAGTTCTGCATGCTTACTTCCACAAAACTTTAAAGAAACAAATGAATGTTTGTAGCTTCCTCTTGGCTGTAGGAAAGCAAAAGATACATGTGTACACGAATTAATATTCATTAAAAGATTAGGTAATGGATACATTACTAAACTAAAGTCCCCTCTATTTATGCAAATTTCTTTGCCATTTCTTATCACTGTGTGTTATAGTCCTGCTCCTCCCACAGTTGCCATTTCTTTTTAAAAGGCGCAAGGAGAGAAGTTCATGTGCAAAGCTGTCACCAAGGGCCCCAAAAATAATCTAGCAGACACATCTAAGATATTTGGGTGCAGAAGACCAAAATGGCACTGCTTGGTACTATAGATATAATACTATACTCAGTAATTGACAGTTTGCTGGCTTTTAATTGGACCTATCACATGTTTGTCACAAGAGGCAAGTGACCAGTACCTTATTTTCATTCTGCAGCTGGAGGTGGGACTCTGCAAAAAACAGCAGCTTCCCTAAAACAACCCAGTCAGTTCCTGAGTGAAGTGAGATTTAGCTGAGGTACTTCCCAGTTTACAGTCCTAGTGATTGCAATGCCCCAGTCCCCTTTTTAATGAGGTAACAGACTCACAGAAGAGATCTCTTCATAAGCAAAAGGCCTGAACAGTTGTAAGCAGCTCTGAGTTGAGCCCTTACCTGGCTATGTCGAGACTCGCCATACTTGCCATTGAGGTTAGTCCGGTGGCAGTTCTTATACCACCAGGCTCCTTTGTATGACATGGCACAGTTTGTAACAGCAACATCATTGTCTCTATCCTTCGTGGAAAACGGACGTCCCTGATGGTAGGTGAGTGAATCCCCTGCAACAGAAGACATCGTCTTAGGCTGTTTCCTCTGTCCCTGGAAAGGGACTGCTAAACCATGTGTGCCTACTGTACAAACAATAACTCCAAGAACATGTGTCCTGCATGTGGAAGGGAACAAAGACAACTCCAGAGCCACAGTGAGATTCCACCTTGCCTCAGCACAAGGCATGCCAATGAAGGCTTTTGACACGTTCACCTGAATGGCATCAAACAAGGTGTTGTTGAAGGAATCAACCTTCCAACTTCACAACTGGTACTTCCTCTACCATAGCAATAGCTGGAAAAAGTTAGTGATGGTTGTGGTCCTCTGAAGACGACAGAGCACTTGGAATCTCCCATCCCAGATTGCCTTGCAAGCAAAAAGCTGAGCTGCAGCTTCTCAGCTTCCTGCCCAAAATGTCCAGCTGCACAGCTTACTTTTTCATCTGCAATAGCAAATAGTTCAGCTATTGGGTAGCAGAACCTCTGCATCATGGTAGGTGGAAGAAGGAGAGCTGGTGACTTACATGTGGCAGTCCTGGTGTTGAAATATAAATTAGAGGTCACCATGGCTCTGTGCACATCTTCAACAAACATCTTAAGTATTGTGACAACTGATCCATTAATACAGTACCTAGAAGCAGCCGCAGCTTGAAGGTCAATAGAATCAGTTGCTATGTACAAATGGCTTCCAATGAGGCACAATCTTTACATGAGTGTATTGCAAGCAGATAATACACCAATGTTTCAGGAAAGAGATTGTGTAGAGAATACCCTGCTGTTTGTGTAGACAGATGACTCAGACTGGATTGCATTTAAGATTTCAGGCTAGACATTTTTGGCACAAAACATGTTTTCAGAGGGGCTGATATATTCTTTGACAACACTTTGCAGCACATGATTATGTAGGTTCGATATTCTATTGCCACCATTTCTTCATTCCTCTCCTCGCAAAAGATATGCTACTATATTGCCAACCTGATTTAGTGACAAGGCAATGAAGGTGGGTGGCAGAGGGAGCCTTCTCATTGACCCCTAGGTGGCTTGTTCCTCTCCATCCTCAGAAATTTGGAGTGAGACCCTGGCCACCTGCCCAGTCAATGTTGAGCCACCCCTGCATTGCCCTCAAAAAGCAACTAGTTGGGCATGGGAGAGGAATGATTGGAATTCTCCTTTCCCCAGCTATTTGGCAGCAGTATGAATAGGGGGAGGTGGGGAGAATGGACACTGATTGCCACAAAGGATGGACACTCTCATCCCTTTTGAACTGCCCTGAAAATTCACCAAGAATGGGGTCTTTTTTGGGTGAGGGCAAAGTGTACATAGCAAGCTGCACCTTCAGTGTTTGTGCAGGGTATGACTAAGCTCCACTTTAGAAGCTTCTCCCCACCGAATGAAAGCACATGGAGAGGCAGATGCTTGCAGCTTCTTCTAGCCAAGTATTACAAGAAAAACCTTGAAAAGCTGTCTTTTACAGAACTCATGGTCCACCAAACTGGCTAATATCTTTTTGAACTATCAGTAGATCTCCAGAGATGTAGTCACGAGATCATTATGTGATAGTTTTCGAAGTTGTGGCCACGTCTGTGCGAGCACTGAAATGCAAAACAAACCACAATGTATTTTTTTTGTACCTCTTGCTGAAATCATTATGGGTGGTTATCTTAAATGGAGGTGTGACAGAAGGAACACTTTGCATGTTAAAAATGGTCCCTAAGAACGATGGTATAGCTGATCCTGGGCTTGCAGAAGCTTCAGGACTTCCTGATTCACAGGAACTATGAGATCACTTGCCATCTCCAGAGGCTCCCCTGTGAATTAAGTTGCAATCTGCTGTACAAAGACTCTTTCACAAGTAATATGGCCATGCAGTTCTTCCTGCAGTGGCAAAGCAACAAGAGCAGCACTTCTAGGCAGCAGAGGACTGGGCGAAGAAACTGAGGTGGTGGAGGAGAGCAACTAGATGTGATTGGCAGGAGAAGCAGCAGCTGGAGGGAGACAAAGGAATGTGGGAGTGGCAGTGCATACACAGGACATTGTAGATGTTATACCCAAGGAATTTAGAGTGAGTGTTAGATCGTAAATTAAGGCTAGGCATATTCTCCCCTCCTTTTACAACATTAACCTCCAGGCACACACATCTTTCAGTGCTACATGTCTGAGGTAAACAAAGCCATCCTATATTCCAAGAGACCAATTACAGAACACAGGCCAGCTGCTTTGTGGATGGAGTCAAGCTTGCGTTAGAATAAACAGATGGTCTTTTCCTTTTGGAGTGGACTGCTTCCTAGTATGGAACCAGTGTCTTTTTTAGTGTGGCCTTCGGACTGAAAGGCATTGATCTGTCCCTGCAATTTCCTGCCCGAGCCCAAAGTGTCCCCTGCTTCATCAGAGAACTAGACCCGCTGAGAAGAGAGTTCTGCTTGAAAAACTCCCAGGGTGGTGTCGAGTGGGTGGGAAGAATAGGTATAGTTTGTACCTGCGGTGCCATTGTAGTCCCCGATTCGGAGCTTGTAAAGACTCCTGGGGTCTCCAATTGAGAACTTGTCATAATAGGCGTAGGCAGTTTCCTGGCCATCTCTCATGTCTATCCGCAGTTCATAGCGCCCCTGCGAAGTGATCTTGTGCAGGTTATCTAGTCCTGGTTGGTGGAAGGGATAAAATACTTGGTAAGATTATATACTTAGAAATCAAGTAAACAACGTGAGATAAGCTCAAGGCCCATGCGATGTCAAGTAATTTTGAATAAAATTAGAGTTAGAAGCCTGCTTTAGAGTCCAGATCAGCACTGATTTTGAGAGGTAATAGATGTATTAAAGCCCCCAAGGCGAAGCATTTCACTGCTCCTCCACAGGATCTTAGACTATGTTCACTGTTGCTTACCAGCTGTTGCCCCTCTTCCCTCATTCTGCTTTTGCTACCTTTCCCTTGTTCTGCTTCTCCTTCTCTCCCCACCCACAAGCTGGTCAAGATAAGCTGGCATGAAACCTATTCCAGGGCCAAAATGCCAATGAGAACTGGAGAAAAATGGCCTGGCCCAAGTATTCCTACTTATTGGACCGATATGTATTGGTCTATACAGCCAAGTCTTACATGATACTGACTTTTAAAAAAAAAAAAAAAAATTCCAAGAAAGAAACAGGTCAGAAGTAAGCTTGATTCCTTATTTGCATATGTTTCAGCCTTTTAAATTCTTAGTGCATAATAATTATTTTGAATATGCTGTATCACAGAGTTTGTATCACGGTGGCTTGGAAGAAAATAAAAATATACTCTCTATTGATAATGTATCTCTTTACCAGTGGCAAAATTCCTGTTGCTTCATTTAAAAAATGCAAGTGTATCTTCTCTGTATTGGAGTTATAGCAAGTTAACAGACAAGCTGTTCTAGGAACCCAAGGAACTGAATTCTGATGAACATGTTGAGGTGGGGTTTTGTTGTGGCGAGACCAGTTGGGTTTCGGGACCCTGACTCCTGAAACTGACCGGGCCCCCCTCTGTTTTGAGGCCCCCAATGTAGGGGGCAAAAGGACAGTCCACTAGGAAAGTGGTGTCTGAAGCAGCAGAGGCAACAGAAAGGGGAGAAAAGTTGATGAAAGCTACTTTTTTTTTTACCCTGAAGTCTTTCTGAGTGCACAGATTGAAGTAAAAGCCATGTTGGGCAAAGAGCTGGAGAGTGGAGAAATACAGAAAGATTGTGGAAAATATATTGACCAGGACTCTTTTCTGTTTATAACACACCCCTGTTTATAAGAACCCCCCCACACACACTTTTCTAACCCAATAATTAACTTAGCTTTGAGGAGTCAGCCTCTGGGCTCAGAATGGTCTGACATTTTGAGTCCCTGTAGAAGCTCCACCTCCAATGAGGTGTGTTCTAATTGGTTTGTACAGTGTCAGCTGACATCCGTTCCATAAGGCTCATGACTGGAGGAAGCTAAGTCTCCTGACTGTAGAAAGCTAAGCCTTGTGACTGAAGGAAGCCTGTTTACAGAGGCAAGGTATGTGGTGTTTTGTTCTATATTCAGCTATCACAGCTTACTTCCGTGTAAAAGACAATTTTTAGTGCAATGATTTCAGGAAAAAGTAGTGTCTTATACACATGAATCAAGATATGTGTTTTATATAAAGAAACCTTTATCGACGTAAAACAATGACACAGAAAGAAGAATGTTGGGCTTAACAAGTTAAAGAAAGTGGATTAGATCCTGTAATCCTTTGAGCCACGGTAGAAGCGGGCCTCCCCCCCCCTCTCAGCCTTGATCGGGAAAAGGAGAAGAGAAATAGGGAGGAGGGGAGAAAGTTATTTGGTGAACGAACTCTTTTAATCAAAAGCAAAGACTTGCTCCCATGAAATAGTTTAATCATAAACTGTCTAATTACAATGCTGATGGAGAAAACTAGAATCAGAAAGTAAAACTTTGGAACTTTGAAACTTAAGAAGAGTTTTAGATTGTGTAACATCACTGGACTGGAGGCACCTTTGTTTTCTTTGGCAATGCGGTGGAGGTGACCCTCCCTCCTGTAGCCCAGAGCAGCTTTGATTGGAGGGAGAGAGGGAAGGAGAAGGACATTAAATGAAAGAAACTATTTTAAAGAAGACAAAACCCTACCCCTAGTTACCTACCCCTAATTACTGAGGCTGGAAAAAAAGATTGAAATGCTAATGTTACTTGCCTCAAAGCATTGTTTGTTATCTTAAACACTCATTGTTTTGATTGGTGGCTGTGAGAACATTTTGATGAGAGAGAGCTGCTGACCTATGTTTTGGATAGGCTATGTAAATAGTGTTGTTTGAATTAAAGATAGGGCAGCGGTGACACCTGCTCGGAAAGAAACCAGATAGAATCTTTAAGAAATTTGGAAGATGACAGTGAATGGAGGAAAGCAAAAGGCCCCAAGAGGCTCACAGTAGATACAAGGAGGAATGGCTCAGCTATGTGAAAAAAGTAAAGATTTAGGGTTGCAAATGGCTGATATCAAACACCAAATTATAGAAAATAAAAGCGAAATAGCCAAAATATAAGAAACCTTTAAAAACCCCAGAAAAAATGGAGATTATGAATGCAGAACTGGTAGTGATGCAACATAATAGAAAACAAGATGAAATCAACCTGCTAAAGTTACAAATGGAGAGAGCCAACCTCATCATATTTAGACTCCAGAATATTCCAGAACAAAAAGGTAAAGACACAGTGCAATTAGTAACTAACTTTTTAGACCCACTGATGGAGACGTGACAAGTAGTACAGCAAAATATAGATACAGCACAAAGAATAAATACAGCACACACCAGGAATAATAAACTCCCCAGATAAATTCATGTTAAATTCACAAGAATGTATTTTGAGAAAAAGTTCTAAGAAACATGCAAGATAAAGGATCTACTATAAAGGGAAAATAAATTAAGATCTTGAAACATAACTGGTGGCAAATAATACAGAAAAGGAGACAATAAGTGGAGCAGACATATTTCCTGAGAACAAACTCAATTACATGTAAGTGTTTGATATCTTTCAAATTCCAGGCACAGAGATATTCTATTAATTCAACAACGAAGGCAGAAGACTTTATGAAAAAAAGAGGAAATGGCTGGGCAGGAAAGAAGAGAAAAAGACAGATGAGAAATAGGAAGAGGAGCAATCAAGTGGATCATTAGGACCAAACTCAGAAGGAAGTTCAGAATTTCAGCTAGAAAACCAAATGGGAAGTGCCAAAGGAAAGACCATCATGGAAAAAAGAGGATCTAAGAAGAGGAAAGAAAACCTTAATAACAAAAATGGATAAAATGAGCCTCCAAGAAACTCATATGAAAAGAATAGAGTAACATCACATGTAAAAGAATTTATAATCAAATATAGACATTAAGATTGGACACTGTCTTCAAAACTTATATTATGAAAATCAAGAAACACTTTATGAAATGTTTTTAATAAATGTTAGAAATGTAAAATACAGGAGGGTAATTTCAACCATATTGGTGGACAGGTAGGGAAACAGAAAATTATTGGAGATTATTGCAGATTAGTATATGAAATGTTGAAATGTTGGGGGGAAATTTTATTTTGTGAGCTATCATTTAAACTGGAATGATGTTAACTGAGTATTATGTCTGAGATTGTAGATAAAGAAATGAAACATTTGATAATACATGTAATTAGTGTAGCTATAAAATGGGAAACACTGGAAGAAAACAGAAAAATGTTTATTTTAAAAAGGATGCAAAATTTGGAATGATTTTATAGTTGGTCTCAAAATATGGACTGAAAAGCAGGGAATGAAGTAGCTACAGTAATCCTGGTAAAACCTGTTAAGTTGTTATTTTTTTGTTATTTTGTTAAAATTCTAGTTGAGTTTTAAAGTGGATGTAAAAGTACTCTCACACTCTCTGGAATTTTACCCTTCCCCTATCCATGTCCACTCCCCAATCCCCCATCCCCAAATCCTATCCCTATTGAAAATGAATACAAATTCATTTGTATTCATATGATGAACCTGTTGAGAATGTTGTATTAGAGACTTTTACTTCTGCTCATGTTCAAAGAGGCAGTTGACATTAATGTGAAGGGACCTTTGGACCAACCAGGAGTAAAGCAGAGAGTGAAGAGTGAACTCCTCTTTCATAAAAAGCAGGGCAATTTGAGGAGCTTCCCATCCTTCTCGTAGAGCAAAAACAAACAACAAACAAAAACAACAACCCTCCAGCTCTGAGAAAAGGCATTCAACTATCCTCCCTTCCCCTAGTAAACTGATAGGAATCACAGGTAGAACTTAAAAGCGGGAGAAATTTCTAATTGATACAAAGTAGTGCACATATGTGATCATGCCCTATTTTGATAACGTAACAAGATCAAACTTAGCAAAGATGGCCTGATCACCTTCTTCCTCACTAACCAGAAGGACACTAGATGAACTTTCTGTTCCCACAATTTATTATTAAGGGAATTAATTAACCAGACTAACTACACAGTATTGACACCCCTTTCTCATGCAATAAAGACAGAGCTAACTTTATTACAAATCATTGTAGAGGTCCTGGTGGGCAGAAAAGCATTTTTCAAATGCTTTTAAGAACAACTAGAACATTGCATTTCCTCTACAATTGTCTTTTGCAGTGAATGTGGACTTAAGTCCAAAGAATTCACCAGTTTATGGTTAGGCCTTTCCTTCACCTGAAGCTGCCAATCATGCTGAGTGACAGAAAGCAACTGTGAGGTAGAAAAATGTGTAGGAATAGAATGAAACGGTTGCCTCTAGCTCCTTTTGTGAGCAAAATGATGTTTGACAACTACAGTTCCACACAGGGGAAAGGGCTATTAAACTTGCTGTGCTATCTAACAAATGAGGAAGGGGCCAGGTCCAGTTATGTGCCTTTCACAAAGCCCCTTCTTTAATTATGAGCATGGGCAGGACAAAGAATAAAGAAAGTGGAGTCCAAATGGCAGATTGAGGGATGATACAGGAAGCGTGACAAGTTGTCCACTGACGCGGAGACAGCAAGGCAGGAACAGATGGGAGACAGGGAGCCCATCTAGAAGGGTGTGCAGCTCAGACTGATGTCTCTCTCTGTGTGGGGGGGGGGAATGCCCCTCGACATGCAAAATCATTTAGTCCAAGTATCTATATTTATTTTATTTCCCCTTAAATATAACTTGGTTTCTAACAGCTTGCCTGTCAACTTGCTCTAAATGTAACCTTGTCCCATCCCTTTCTCCCTCCCCTCCCTCCCCTGAATTGGTAGTGCAAGCATTCATCTTTTTTATGAATTATGGGTTGTGTGTTCCTTTGTAACAAATGTTCTGCAGAGTTTGAATGAGACCTTAGAGCTGCTAGCTCTTTTTTTTGGTGGGGGGGGGAGGCTAAACCAGTACTCTGTTTGTATTGATATTGTGAAGCATGAAACAGAGGGCAAGAAGCAATCCACCACTCCCCCATCTTCCAGAGACTGAGCTTTAATCAGTCCTGCTCCATGTTGTGGAGAAACCCCCCACACATTACTTCACAGTTGATGTCAGGGGGAGTTCTAAGTTTGCACCCCACCCCACAGGACCCGTGGTAATTTCAGTCAAGGAACTACACAAAGCTAACAGATCTGAAATCAACTAGGCTTCGATGTGCACCTATTCCCAAATGAGGGGAAATAACCTGGGAAGAGAAGGAAGGGGGATTAATTACAATATGATGTGATGTCCTGTGGATCTGCTGAAATTGACAGATGTTTGTTTTCCCCAGTGATACTGTCAGGGACAAAGAAAAGACAAAGCTTTGTTACCCAGCCAGAACTCATCTTCTAAGTTTCCAAAGCCAGCACGATACTCTGACCACTTCCGAAAGAAATCTGTCAGCCCATTCTGTCGTCTCTGGAACACCTGCAAAAAGAAGAAAGGACTAAGATGGAACCTGCAATAGATAGCAGAGTGGTGGTGTGCCTGTTAATGGTTTTTATTACAGGTGAAATAGCAGCAGGTGAAATGTGAATTCCTCCTGTGAAAATTTCACATGAACAAGCATAAAGTTCAGTGACAGAGCCTCCAGGATGTACCATTACTCTGTTTCTTTTTTCCAGTTCTACCAGTGCTTTCGGCTGAATGGGTGGTTGCCGCATCTTTCTATCCTTACAGCCCTGCTAATAGTTCCAGGAAAGACTGAAATGCTACCTTTTTTTGCCATATTCACTCCATAAAATAAGATACATATTGTTGATAGGGTGATTGTTTTGATCTGATCAAGTTTTGGAATGATGGGTATTATATTGGACATGGACCATCTCTGATCAGATATAGGAATGATTATCAACAACAAATCATCAAGAACAAAATGTGCATCATTGGCTTCTGGCTAAGTGGATGGGTAGGGTTTGAAGAAGATAAAACACAGAATTCCTTCCTTTAAGACTTCCAGCTGGCTGAGTAAGGAATCCACAAAGTACATTTCACAGCCTTATTTGGATTCCGCAGTGTGCTGGGGAAAGAGCAAAGTAAGATTAAAGACAGGCTGTCTACCTTGATAGCAGTTGCATGTTCTCTGTCTGCCAGGCCTGGGCATGTCTTCAAAATAATTGTGTAACTTGTTTAAAAATGACAGCTCCTCATTGGCTGCATACCAAATGAACTTTGAGTCGTCAGCCTGATCCTGTGCATTGCCTGATTTATTCCTCACTTTTTGATGGAGTGAGAATTAATCTGCTGCTCGTTGTGAGGTCTATCTGGGTGGCCTCTCAATCCGATACCCCTACTTTGTTGTCTGCCAGCTCTGACCTGTCTTTGTGTGTGGCTCACAAGCTTCTTAAGTCTATATCTGCTGCTCTATGCCAATTGGCAAGGCCACCAGCTCATCACTGTTTTCTGCTTCTGGTGTTCATGACAATAGGTTGTGACAGAGGTGCAGTGTTTCCAAGATACACCAGGTGGCGCTATTGGTAGATAAACTTCCCTGGGATGAATACACCAAACCACTTGTAGTGCTGATAGAAGTATTGCATTATTTACAGGATTTTTACATATATACACAGCTTTAGTCTTGGTCTCACAGTCCTTAGTTCAGCAGTTTCAATACGTAAATCACAGTCAAAGTCCTTTTGTAAATGGTCCAGAGTTCATTTACCAGTTGAGCAGTCCTGAAGCCACAAGTTCTTCTCCCAATATGCTTGGAGATAGGCTTCTTCCAGGATCTTCTCCAATACAGCAACCCCAACAGCTCTCCGACACAGCATACACCAACAACCAACAAAGTGTGTAAGCTAGTTCTCCTAGCTTTATCCTAGGGTTCACCAATCGTGTAGTTCTTCTCTCAGCTGTCTCAATCAGCTCAGCTGTATCACCTCTAGCTACACATATCTTGTAGCTCCGATCCTGTTAATACTTATAGAATTGCATTCAACAATTCACATAGGTTTGACTTAAACCTGTCAGGTTGACATTCCTCCCTTAAGAAGGAAGCTGAAGAACAGACTCATATATCCTCTGGTCTGGTTCTGAAGTTTGCCCATTGTACCCTATTGGTTTTTGCATCAATTTTTATTAAGATGTCCCATTCCATTCCATTCTGTTCCATTCCATCTTTTACTTAGTCCCAGAACAAAAATAGTTTTGCTCCAAGGGATGGGCTGAATGTTGCCATTTTCTGAGGGACCTTAGCTCCCCTGAGGTCCCCATACCTTTTCATTCAGAAAAAAA